CGTACTGTGCAGGGGGAAGCTCGCATGCAGCAGCTGCCGCTATTCCATGTATGCCACATGCCACCCCCCTTCACTCCACGTTTGGATGTGCTTCACGCCTCCAACCCTGCTCCACATCTGACCGCTGGGCGTACACTGATCCAAAAAGTTTGAAAACCCCTGTGCTAGGCAGTATTTTGGGCCTCAGCCCACCAAGAAAAACTGTAAGCCTCCCTTAATAAGGGAGGCCACTGGAAATTGTTTGGGACAAATATAAAGCAAAAAGTGAAGGAAGTGAGAGTCACAGGCTCAGGATTAAGCTTGAAGAAAACTTCTTGTTCTGGAATGCAACAGCAGGCTTTGATGAATGGGGTACACAGCCCTGTGCTCCCTAAAAAACACCCTACCATCATAATATACACAAGCCCTTTGTGAGATGCATATTTTGGATCTTGGACTTTTATGAATAAATCCAGACCTTCAGCTTCAGAATCTGAGCCATAGTCTGAGTCGGTAGGGAATTTACTGGTACATTTACACTGGTGGTAAGTACATCTACAGAGCAGTGGGAAAGACCACAAGGAAACAGTCTACCCGCTCTTTAAATTAGGATTGGACGCCTTCCTAGAAAAAAAAAATGCTTTCTTCAAATACATGTTATAGGGCTCAAAGCAGGAGTAACCAGGTGAAATGTTGCCTATGCAGATAGACTTAAGTCATCTAGGAGTTACTTTGGACCTTAACAATCTATCAATAGCCCTCCATGGCATGAGCGAAGGAAATGGAAAAATGAGGGTTTATTTATGGTCTTGTCATCAACCTTATGCTTTCTGTGTATGGGTTGAACTGACTCTAGGGTTTGATGTCTTCTTTTCCAACTTACCCACCTTTTCACAAGCTTTTTGTTTTCGTTTTTGTTTTTGTTTCTGTTTTCTCACCCAAATTCCCCATACTTAAGGAGCTATTTTTTTAAGAGAGCTTGGGGCCATGTGTAGACAAAATGAGGGGCGTGTATGCACAACACTTTAAAGTGGACTAAATGCTTTTGCACCACTTTAATGGTGTTGGTGTTTGCATGCCTTGGTGGCGTATTGCACATTAATTCCAGCTGCTGTAGGAAATTTGGCTTCCTAATACATCTTAAATGACTTGGGTGCATTTTGCACCTTAAATGACTCCTTTGAGGAGTTTTAGTTTGCTGCCCTACAGCCACAGAATGAAGCACCAAGCTCCATCCAGCGCTGTGGCTCTGCAGGAAGCCTTGCACGCAGCCTGGCAGCAGCCCAGGAAGGCAGGCTCTGATCAAGAAAAGCGGTGAGCCTGATCTTTACTCCCCACCCCCCTCCCCCTGGAGCCTGCCTGCCTGAGCTGTGCAGGGGCCCGGTGCTTCCCTCTGCGGCTGCGGTGCCTCTTGGGACTGCCCAAGCCGGGTGTCTATGGGCAGGTGGCGCTGGGGGGTGGGGCACTGCTGCCACAGAGTGAAGCACCAGCCCCTCTCCCCCCTGCAGCCTGGGGACCACTCCACCTGCCGGCAGCTCACCTTTCCCTCCCTGCCAGAGAGGCAAGTAAGCTGGGGGGGCGGTGTTCATGACACGGGGGTTTCATCAGCCCTAAATTGAAACAGTGTTTTTTTAAAACCCACTGCTTCAATTTAGGATCCCCATTTCATCTACACATGCCCAGTCTCTCAGGGCCTTGTTACACATTAACTTTAGGCAGCTTCTGGAGTGTGTACCTCCTGGATTATCCATACAGAAATACCTAAAACTAGTTTTAAACATACTTTGGATGGCTTAAAATAACACCACTCCAGGGCAGGTTTCTTTCTGATCCATGTTACCCAGTTCATGTTTCATTAATGTGTGGCCACTCCCCACAGATTAGCCACCCAAGTTGCCAGCCTCCAGCATCCCAGGATGCCGTGTCCCCTCTCCCACCCTCCTGTTCTGTTTGGATGAATATTCCACCCCTCGAGCTCTACTGCCCAGGGGTGGTTCTGGCACCAAGCCACTGATCCCTTCCGCCCCCAGAGGTGCAACTTTCCCACCTCCTGGGGAGCAGCCCTGTGAAAACAGCCTGAAGAGCACATGCCATCTAGCCAGGTCACAGGGTACGGACAGGTCCAGGAGTGGGATATGGGGTGGGTGGAGGGGAACAAAGTAGGGGACTGCATTGGGTCCCCATGAGCTGAGGCTTCCTTTCTGGGGCAGGGGCGCTACCTCCTCATAAGTTGCCTTCCCTCACTGTTCCCATTTCCTGGCCACCCCAAGAAGCTTGACCAGCAGACCCCACACCCCAATAATAAATACTAAATCCCAATTTATTAAAAGATGAGACCTTCTTTAATTTACTTCCTCTTTATTTCTTCTTAAATTCTTTCTTTTTTGCTTCCTTTTTTCCCCTTCAGTGGCTGACCTTCATTTCACCATCCTCCCTCCACCCCCATTTCCTTTTCGCCTCTCATTTCATTATCCAGCCCCAGCCCATTACATCTTTACCTCCCAGCGTCCTGTTCCCATCACCCAACCCGTCTGTCACACATGCCTGCCTAGAGCTAGAACAGGAGTCTTTCCTAGCTCACCATCTTCTGGCAACTCACAGCTGTAGCTCTTAGTCAGACCCCTGCTCACCAGTCCTCTAGTTCAGTGGTTTTCAACCTTTTTCATACCAGGACTCATTTGTGAACATTGATGGCCAGTCCCGACCCAGTGCCCCTTAATCCTGATCCACTGCCCCCTACCCCCAGGCCCCAGACCCCAGTGGTGATGCATAGGGCATGCATGGGGGTGCATGTGCATCACCCGGGGAACCTCCCCGGAGATCTGCAGGATCACCTGTGGGGGGTGGGGGGGAAGGGTCCCCTGACTAAGGCAGCACCAGTAGTGTATGCCAGACCCCCAGTGTGTGGGGCAGGGGGAGGGTGTGTGGGGGGCATGGAGGGTCCCAAGCAGCCCCTTGAACTCTGCCAGCCTGCAAGGGAAAAGCCAGAGTTTCCCATATTTTTCTCCTTGAAAGGAGAATCCATTTTTAAAGTTTTAAAGTTTGTTGGTGACCCTTTCATATATGCTTGCATCTCACTTTTGGGTCACGCCCCACAGGTTGAGAAACACTGCTCTAGTGGCATGTCACAGCTGTGCAGCTGGGGGACATTCAAAAAATGTTTTTAGCCTTAAGGTGTGACTACTCCAAACCCAAGCGAGCACCACCACTGATCAGTATTTGACCAGCTCCAAGTGCAATGTGTAACCAGGCTCTTGCTTTTAAAATTGGTGGCCTAGCTTGGTCAGTGAGTCCCTTTGGCTTGGAGATGATGCTCTCAGGGGGTCACTGCTACAGTGTGGTAGCAATACGTTCTGTCTATGATACCCCTGACAGCACCCCAAACCCAGAATAACACCAGTCTGCTTGGACAAACATTGGTCTCTCATATGCCTGACAGTGGCTGCTAGGGATGACTCTAGCACCTTTTCCTTGATGTTCTTCTGGGTTTAGAGCAGGCTTGGGTAGGTCCAGCCAGATCAGGCTGCGGATGAAATGTAGGCATGAGCTGTTTGTGGTGGGGGGGAGAAGAGGGTTGGAAAGAAAGGTGGTGTTTGCCTCTACCAGAAGTTCTTCATAACGGCATGTGGGTAAGAGAAGTAAACATTTAAAGCTACAACAACTTCCTTTCCCAAGTTTGTAATTTATTTTGAACCGACCACAGAGTTTCAACCTCTTTTCTAAGTCCTAGGAACTAATTTTTCAAAGGTCTGTGGTTGACTCATACTCGTCCATGTGAGCTTTCATTTGATATTAGTTGCCTTGCAACTGGGACTATACGATCCTATGCGCAATGTCCCCACTTTTAGAAGTTCTTGGGGGAGGAAGCCCTCATTTCTCAACTTTAGAGTCTTAATTCTTGTTTGGGAAACTTAAGGCAGTTCTGTAGTTTGAGATGATAAAGGCAGTTCTTTACCTAGAAATTCCTTGGTCGGCGAAAACAGGTGGTACAGAATATATGTTTTGGCAGCTATCAATACGGTACATATCATCTATGCCAAGGAAGTGTATATCCTTTTCCTGGACATCACTTCTTCAATGCTGTGTTGAGGAAATGTGTTGGGGAAACGGTGCTCTGTTAATGGACTCAAAGCCATTGTAATTTCACATTTTAAATCTTACTCTCAGAAGGTGCTGCCCTGGGCAGGTCTAGCATTTCTGGGCTTATTTGGGTCAGAAACCCTGGTCACACAAAGCCCTGTAATGTCTCTCAACTATATGGTTGGTCCAATAAAAGCTATCACCAGAAGATATCGCCATATTGCCTGAATGATCACAGTTACAGGAGCCCTCTAATCCTACTTAATGCAATAGGCTATTTATACTCGATCCAGGAAGTGGCATGTAACTTGACCAAGAGAGAAAAAGAAACCACATGTAAACAGTTTGGATGCATCTTAGTCCTATCAGCGTCTCTGTGCAGATGTTGGGTGAAGCTTGCATTTGGTCAGATTATTATTTTACAGTAGGTTTTATCTAAATATGCTTTTGCCCTGAGTAAATAGTATTTAGTCACAGGTCACTGAATAACTTTTTGTCATTACGCCAGAAAGCAGGACAGCTGGCATGACGATAGAGTCCGTCCCCCTTGAGACAATCACAATGAACTGAAAGACAAGCATAATTTAAACAAAAAACTCAGTTTACATAGAGTTGAACCAAGCATTTATTGCACAGGATTGCATTCGTTTTATAAGCAAGGAAAAGGTCACAAAGAAAGTTAACCAGAATCCAGTATGCAGTATGGAAAGTAAAGTGTTTAAGGACTTAGAAAATCTTTGGGAATTCTATTATTGGGAATAGGGAAGCATATGCCCATTAGTAGCTAAAACTTGATTATTATTGCATCTAAATTTACTGCAGCAGTAATTTCAATTGATGGACATTCTTAAGGACCAATATATAAGCGTATTGTCATTATAGTTTTACTCAGAATTCAATATATGCTAAAACATTGGGAATGGAATTTCTTAAATCCTGCATTCTGTTCTTTTCTAAATAAGATGATCACAAGGAAGACCGAGTGATGCAGCAGAATATTATTTTATTTCAGTGGTGCATTTGCAGGTAGCTGGACACTTTTCTTTCACCATATCAGTGCAACCAAACAGATCTTTTAAGGTGCTGCAGTCTGAGCCTGTATCGTGGAACCTGCAAGGGTTGGCTGAAATAAAGCACAGCATAAATAGTGAGACATTAAAAGACATCATAGGGAGAAAATGATTTCCTTTTTAAAATATAGTCTTCAGTTCTTTGTCTTTATAGCCTAAGTAGTCTCAATAGCCTCTGGGCCTTATCCTGCACTCAGTTAAATAGGCTTCATCTGGTTTCAGTGAAAGCAAAATCAGATTTTTTTCTTGTGCTTAGGCCAACACAAATTTAATTCACTGGCATACATTGAATGCCACTTAGAAAAGGAAGAAGATCCACTATGTCATGAAGTGTGTTGAAAAGTCAATATGCCCAAATCAGATCTTATAGATCTTTTCAAACACCACAGTTAAACCCTGGCTGTTCTATAACACTGTATATATGTAAAAAAAATGGTTTATTTTCATTCTGGTTTGAAATTACTGCCTTGAAAACAAACCAGGCGCAGAATAGCACTTTTCAATTGAAGCTCTTGAAATGAAGCTTTATTGAATTAAACTTCAGAAGGGACTTATGAGATAGTAAGTGCTATATTTCCAATTTTATCGACAAGACATCCGAAAACCAGAAGTGGAAATTATTTGCATTTCAAACTATAAGCATACTTTGTCTTGCATCAAACATAGGTCTACAAGGCTTCAGTGCATACTGCAAATTTCTATGGATAGATGCACCTTGACAATTTTATGCACACTTGGCTTTGCAGGTTGTAGGGAGCGGAATAGTAAATTGACTGTTTAAAGTAGTGCATCATTCTCCCCAGTAGAGGGAGCAGATATCATCACATTGATTAGATAATCTTATATGTGAATTCAGCTGTGAAAGAACATCAGTTAAAGTATGTTACTTACTGCAAAGTCCATTTTCACACGCATCCGGACAGTCACCACATTTTGGTCCAGCTTTGTATGGTCTAGCTAAGTTCTCTACAATATTCCCTCTGAAATTGTAAAGACATCCAATGTAGTGTGATCAGAATTACATCCCCTGACCGTTGCAAAGGATCTTAAAATAGTATATTTGGAAGAAGTGCTGACATATGAAGCATGTTCCTAAATGATCATGTGTTTTACCAAGCTGGTATAAAAAGTGTTTTGATTTAAAAGGAAAAGAAATTAGCCATACTTTTTGCGCTTACTTTTAAATAATATTTTAACAACAGCAACAACAAAAACAAATGCTAGCACCTTCCATCGAATAGCTTCCAAATGTTCCTGGGTGGCAATGAAATAAGCCTTTCAATACCCTTCTGCTGTGTGTAATTATTAGAGATGAAACTTGACCTCCTCACTCCCAAAATATTAATTTGCACTCAAAAGCCGGCTAATACTCAGTTATATGTGTGTCCTTTTTTTTTTTTTGCTTTCCATGAATATCTGAGTATTTGTTCTCCCACTCATCTGTCCATTGAACAGTGCACTTAAGAGCCTTGTGAAGTCTCCCCTCTGTACATCATAACATGAAATAAAACACACATTAATAATCCAATTAAATATCAGTGAATGGGAGTATCAGCTTTGCTTCCTTTGCATCTAAAGATGTTCACAAGCTTGATACCTGAAAATTTATGCCCAATATATGTAGTAAATAAGTACTGAATTCTAGGTGAGACTATAGAACAAGCACATGCTTCCCCATTTCCCCATTTTTAATGTGTGGGAACTACAGAAGACTTGGAAAAGATATGCAGAAATATTTCATAATGAAGGAAGTTCATATTGATACGTACGCAGGACAGTAGTGGCAAACGTAGAAGTAATTAAACTGACTGTTAGGACAATAAGCAACGCCGCATCCAATCTGGTAAGAATTATACCAGACTACCTGCAGGCATGAAAATAAATGCAATACATTAGGGTCATGTTTCATTCAGAGATGATTCATGGACTATGCAAACTCTCATACAAAACACATGCCATACTCATGAGTAGGGAATATCCCTTTAGAAACTGCAGTGATTGCTCCAACAGGTGAGTAATATCCAGGAAGTTTTAAATGTATTTTTTAATATAGAAATTAGGTGTCAGGAACAATAAGGAGGATCCAGTGTCATGTCACTAGTCATCTTTAGGAGAACCTAACCATATGATTTTTTTAAATAGGACAATACATATTTCATTTTGCATTAATATTGTTGGGGGGGTTTTTGCTGAATGAAAATTTATTTTCTAAACAGCTCTTCTTAAATTAGTTTCAACACCTGGTAAAATGAATGAAATGACCCTCAATGAATTCAGTGCATTTTTGATCAGCTGGTGATTGGTGCCTAATAGCAATGGTAGATATCTATCTGATGGTTAAATCTTCCAGCTGCCCTTTATTACACTGATGATACTCCATTTATTGCCACAGAGATGCTTTCTGAAATGTGTTTTATTTGAAAAAATGGCAATGCTTTTCTGAGGTTTCGTGGCAGAGTAGCAAAGGTGTCTCACTATAGTTCTAGAGCAGGGGGGTCTAACCTTTTTGAATGTGGGGCCGGATCATGAATTTTTATCAACACGGCTCATTCAGCCTGTCCAATCCAACTGTGGCCTGGGGGTGCAGGGGTCAAGGGGCACCGTCTGACCCCGCCGTGTCCTCCCTGCCACCTGAGCGGCCTTGAGGATGCTCCCACACCTGTGCACCTGGGCTCAGCAGCCAGGGGGACATGCAGGGACCCTACAAGGGAGTGCGGGATGTGCAGGGACACCCCCCCAGGAAGCCTGAGCCCAAGCCTGACTGGCAGGGCTCCCTCCCTCCCCAGGGCTCGTGACTCACCACCCCCAGCAAGATGTCTGAAGGCACAGGGGGATGCGGGGAGGCAGGAGCAGTGCCAGCTTCCTGCCCCGACAGCCACAGCCACAGCAGCAGTGGCAGCAGCATCTCCTGTGGGCCCGGCCACAGTGTCCCTCCAAGCTGGCATCCGTGCCCCCCGTGCCTGCCCACCCACTGCACCACGACCTGCTCCAGCCCACGCAGCTTGCAAGGCCTGGCACAAGGCGGGGCTGGCATGCAAATGAGGAAGGGAGGGGTGGGGCTAGGAAGGGACACCATGAAATGAGGGGGGAGGGGAAGATCCTCATTGCATCGGCAATGTCAAGCTAACACAGTGCTTGTGGGAACCTTGTCCCTTCCCCAGCCCTTCAGCAGCCATTAGGAAGGTGCTGAGGGGCTAGGGGAGGGACAAGGGGTGGGAACAAAAGTAAACAATGTTTACTGTCATTTCCCATTGCAGCACTGCAGGCCTCAGAAAATGGCTTGGGGGGCCGCATGGCAGCCTGCGGGCTGTATGTTGGACAAGCCTGCTCTAGAGGCATGACTTCAAGCCCTGCCCTGGGTTCATGTTGAATGTTGTTCCCAGCTCCAAGAAAACATCTGGTTTTCCAGGCTAGGGAATAAAGGGTGCTTGGCTGTGATGTTGCCTTTTGAGATGGTGCTAGAGCAGAGGTTGTCAACTAGGGGCACTTGGGAAGGCCTCAGGGGGTACACGGCAGCAGTGTGGAGATGCAGGACCACTTCTGGTTTCACCACCAGTGCTTCTGGTTTCACTGCCACCCCTGCCTTTCCTCCCCCACTCATCGATCAGCTGCCAGGGGACCTCTCCCCCCACATGCCAGTGACTGGGGGACTCCCTGCTTCCTAACCAGTCACCAGGGGTACACCAACCAAAACCTGGGCTAGAGAAATGGGTGTGCTTTAACCACCCTTATGCAATAGCATGTTAGCTATAGATTGAACTGGCATTGCTTTTCTCTCTTACAACAATATGTCAGGAGTTAGATATTTGCTGTTATTATCCATACCTGAGTATAGGTATTAAAGCTTTCATTTTCGTCAATTCCTCCAACCCCATACTTGAAATATTTCACACGATCATACCAATGTTGGATCACAGCACTCCATGATACAGGCCTAGATGATTGGGCTATAGTTTCCCCGCAGAGGACACCTGAATGTAGAAGTAAGGCAGTTTCACTGGATGGGACCAAGACAGGCAAAAAATGTGTGGGGTTGACAGAGTGAGTTACAGCCAGAAGTGGGAGTAACCAGCAGGCTTCTCCAATGCCTGCTCACAATGGGGACTTTCTGTGTTTCGCTTCCATAAAACAGTACTTCTGAGAAGGGAAGAATAGATCTAATCCAGTCTCAGTGAAGTCAGTGGAAGACCTCCCATTGATTTTGATAGGCTTGGGACCACAGGTAGTTATTTGCCAGCTCATTAACCAATGTATCTCACTGAAGATACTGGATGAGAAGAACAGATTAAATGTATATGGGTTTCTAGATAAACTGTAAGGCCATTTCTTTGGGAATTAAGAGGAGATTCAATATTATTTTAATAATAGTGGTCACAAAATGAAACTGGTAAGTAGTAAGTTTAAAACTAACATAACGAAGTTCTTTTTCACAAAATGTATAATTAAAGTGTAGAGCTCATTGTCATAAGAGGTGGAAGGTGACAGTTTACCCAGATTGTAAAGTAGATTGGAGAAATACTTGGAGGAAAGGAAAGGGGCATCAGTAACTAATGAAGACCAACACAAAGCTGACCCTCACTTCAATCTCTTTTCCTTTCTCATGCCCTTATGACAAGGTATTTAACAGAATTGGCAGAGCTGTTGGTATCTGACAGAGCCACGGTGCAAGCACTTCTGCTGTGGCTTCAAACTTGTAACCTCTGGACTATCATCTAGGTGCCTTAGTGCCTACACCAATGCAACCCAACCCAACCCAACACAACACAACACAACACAACACAACACACTTCAAGGCCCTGATCAACATTAGGATGCTATCATGGTAGGACATTGCACAGACATGCAATAAGAGCCAGTCCCAGCCCTGATGATCTTAGGGCACTCATAGACATGTCAGGGGTTTAGTCCTCAGGGCTTTATTTTATGCTCTCTAAATTGAAACAGTGGGTTTTGAAATTGAAACCCACCATTTCAGTTTAGGGGCTTCAATCATGTTATGGTATGGGGGCCTGATCCTTTTTTTCCTTTTTTCTGGTAGAGCCTACCTGCAGTCAGGGGGTGAGCTGCTGGCAGGTCAAGCAGCCCCAGATTGGCAGGGGGTCCTCGTCTTTCCCTCCACGGTGGTGGTGCCCCCTGGGCCACTTGAGCAGGCTGCTAGTGAGCCAGGACTGCCCTAGCTTAAAGGCAGCACCCGGCAGATGCAACTCTTCCCAGAGCCCGCCAGAGCTTCCAGCGCCCCATGAACGATCCCTGCCACTTTCCCACTGCCTGGGCCCACCCAGGAACAGGTTGGCTTGTCCCTGGGGCAGCACAGGGGGGGTAGCACAAGGGCAGCTGGGTGTGCTGGCAGGTGGAGAAAGCAGTGGGGACAGTGCACAGGGTGCTGGAAACCTGGGCGAGCTCCGGAAAGCTCGGGCTCAGCAGGCTTACATTACAAAAAAAAGGATTGGGACCCTCGCCACTACTGCCTTCAGAAGTGGCAAGGGGCCTGATCCTTTTTTTCTGCCAAGCTTAAGCTTCCCCAAGCCACCATCTGACTTCTCGCTCTGGCTCCAAAGTGGGGATCAGGAAAAAGAAGCACATCTAGATCCTGAGAGTCTGAGCACCTGAGAGTTGTTGGAGGATCTCACCAGACTCTTTGTTCTGAGTCCAGGGGTTGTTGGAGTTGTTATCATTTATCTTGCGAGTGCAGCACTTCCTGCCTTAGCAGCGTCTGCAGCTGTTCCTACCAGCTGGAGTGAAGGGATCTCTTGACCTGTCTGTATGA